GAGAGAGAGAGAGAGAGAGAGAGAGAGAGAGAGAGAGAGAGAGAGAAGCATGAACTAGGCTGTTTCCTTTGACTGCTTGGGGAATAATACTTTTTATCTGTCCTTGAGCAAAGGAAAAAAAAAAAACATGAGTCAAAATGAATGACTAAAATATTCTTTAGGAGAGAAACATTAGTTGAAGTTAGAATTTTGTTCTTTATCATTAAAAATATATTACGATTGACTAATGCCAATTCCATTTATCCAACAACACACACAAAATTTGGTGGTGGGTGTTGGGGTATGAAACCAGGAGTCTTTGGAAATATTACAGAAGAAGGTTGCTTGCTTCTTTGAGACATTCCTCTGCCACCTCCTTGGTGCCATAGATTTACAGAATTACTAAGGACTCTAAGAGGTAGCAGTGAGAAGGGAGTTCTTTAGGAAAATGGAGGGCAGTCGTTTATACAAAGACACAAAGGTAGGAGATTAAATGCCTTGGAGGACCCCCACAGTTAGGGAATGGAGTATGTATACTCCATGTATGCATGTACATACACACTCTCTTTCTCTCTCACACAAACACACACACATACACTTTTAGATTGAGACATTGCACTGAAATCCCTTCAGGAAAGCTCATCCAAAAAGAATAAACAATTGACTAATAGTTTTATGTTCTCTCCTTTTGAAGACTGTGTGACCTCATCCTTTATCCCCATCAAGCCTTTTGATGTGATGGTTCAACAGGAGCCAACAGTGGAAGTAGAAGAATTTGTTTATGATTCAACCAAGTATTCTCGGCCTTATCGGGTGTATAAAAACCAAATTTATGTCTACCCAAAGCACCTCAAGTATGATGGGCAGAAATGTTTCAACAAGGTAGGCCTTCCTTTTCTGAGAGTGCTTCAAACTTTTTGCCCTTCATGATGTAGGCATCAGAGAGAGCATGTCTGGAAAGTGAAATTACAGAGTGTCGAATGCCAGGAGCTCAGAATAGAAAGCTATTTCAGGGAAAATGATTACTTTTGAACTGCAATGGGATTCCCTTTGGTATTATAAAGGGGAATGCAATTTTGTGACTTATGCTAACAATCTTTTCTAAAGTTCATCCTAAAAATTTTCTTTTGGCCACATTTTTATTGTAGCTTTTAAATGTGCTCCAAAAAACAAAAGCCATGTCTAAATCCTATTGTGTTTGAACTTTTGTCTTGTATAATGAGTATAATGCTTATTTAAAAAATTCCCAGAATCTGCTCTTATGCTTCTCAACCCCATGAGGAAGGTCATGTGAAATGTGTTCTTTGGTGTGAATAAGGGCTACTTATTTCAAACACTTGGATTTTTTTTAAGATGATACTGAATAACAAATTATAACTTCTCTTTCCTCTTGCTATTTCAGGCACGAAACATCACTGTGTGCATTGAATTCAGAAACTCGGATGAAGAAGGTGCCAAGCCAGTGAAGGTGAGCCAAGACACCAAAGAGTCACAGAATAAAAAGAAAATGGGGAAGAAATAGCATACTTTCCTCAAATCAAAGAGGGATATTTTATTTGAATTTAGTTGAAAAGAGAACAATTCAGTACATTTGTTTCCGATTTCCTGAAGTAAACTTTTTTTTAAAAAAAATAGCAATCATTAGCTGAAGCCAATGGAAATGTCAGGCTCAAGGCACCGCCTGACTTGAAATGATTTAAAAAGAAAATTTCCTTGTTTCAAATGAATGTGAAAAGTTTCCCCTAGAGAAGTAGTTGCCCTTTACCTGAAAAGAGCCCAGCTCTCACCTCCTGTATGTTTGATTTAAAATATTGCTCAGTGGGCCAAACTTCCAAAGCTTTGTTCAGAGACTGCACCTACAAAGGTCTGATTACCAACACAATAGACCATTTGGACACTTTCACTTGTGAAAGGCATGTCTGTGGGGCCAAATGAGAGCTCCACCATAAGTGGTTTTGAAGTTAGAATGTGAAATTATGTCCCTGATGCTGTTAATATGATTAATAATATTTAATAAGGATCAATAAAAATAGATATGGTACATAGAATTCTGCTATGTTATCCTGCATAATTATTGAAGTATACTTAGCCAAACATATCTTTTCAAGGTTTTGTTTATTTATATTTTCTAAGTTATAAGGTTATAAAAATGTATAAAAAGAAATTTGGGGGTTTTTTTCTATGTAAACAGTCTTTAGGAAACCTGGAAATAATCCAGTTGTTAGCATAAATTTAAATGGAAAAAAAGCACCTCCCTAGATTTAGGGTAGAGGGGGAGTTACCATTTCTGTATTCCAAATTCACTATGAAATTCAATTCAATAAATCTGTTTAGTGCCTACTATGCATAAGGCACTGTGCTGTGCATGGAGATAGAAGGTCAAAAACAAAATAGCCCCTGCCTGTCCTCAAGGAGTTTACATTCTACTGAGAGTGAAGATGGAGCAGGATATACTATATAGACAGATAAGGGAATACAAAATATTCAAAGTAATACAAATTAATTTCAAGAGATAGATAGAAAATAACTAGCAGCTGGGGAAGTTAGGAAAAGCTTTGGTAGAAGATAGCATCCGAGTTATACTTTGAAGGAAGATAGGGTTTTCATGAGGCAGAGGTGAAGCTGGGGTGTATTCTAGACGTGGGTGGCCACCTATACTCTGGCCCTAATTAGTGGTATTAAACAGGTTTTAGAATTATCAGATTAATGGTATGCTGCTAAATGTTGGTGAATCGATAGGAATGTCAGTAGCATGCATTTATGTAGTGCCTTGTGGTTACAAAATGCTTTTATATGCTATTTAATCAAACAATCAACAAGCATTTATTAAGTGCCTATTGTTTGCTTGGCTCTGTGCTATGTACTAGGAACATAAATTCAGAGAATGAAACAATCTCTGCTCGCCGAGATATTTAATCCTTTTAACATGTGGGAAAAATGGGCTAGGTGATATCTCTGTTTTATAGATTAAGAAAATGAGGCTCAGAAAAGTTATGTGATTTGTTCAAAGTTATTTAGTTAGTTAAAGGGCAAAGTCAGGTCTTAACCCACGTTTTTGTAAGAACTAAAGAAATCACAAGGACAGTGGGTACTAAATCTAAAGCATAAGCCATAAGCATTTTTTAAAAAACCAAACATTAATTAATGGAGAATAGTTAAAAACTGGATTGCAATCCAAAGTGAAATTGTGAGATTTTTCACATGCCGGAGATGGAAATAACGTCATATTTGGAGACATGATAAGCAAGGGGTGCCTCCATTTACAGCACAATTTTGATAGTCAAATTAATTAGTTAATTAGGCAATGGGAAGGGGGGGGCTGTTAGAAACTACTTAAACATGACCAACACCATTAAGGTCTGAAGAAATTACTTGCCAACATACCTGGTTATCCTTCAAAAAAACTAGGAAGTCTGGACTTGGAATCAAGTGAGACTTATTTGAAACTACCTACCCCTCTTATTTTTATCAGCTGTGTGACCAAAGGCAAATCATTTCCATGCTCTGAGCCTCAATTTTCTCATGTGTAAAATGAGATTAATCTCTGTAGCATCTCTCTCACATGGTTGTGAGGATCAAGTGTCACAATGTATGTAAAACACCTTGTGTACTTTAAAGTGGTACAGTAATGTCCGTTATTATGATTATTATAGAATTAAAACAGACATTTGTGCTTATTCAACATATAACTTTTTTAAACAGTGTATTTATGGAAAACCGGGAGGGCCGCTGTTCACTACTACAGCATACACAACAGTACTCCATCATTCCCAGAATCCTGACTTCTCTGATGAGGTGAGTTCACTGTGTTCATGATCATAGAGGTTAGTCAATAAGGCCAGGAGATATGTAAGTTTATGTTTTAAAAACATGATTTCTAGATTGCAAAAAAAAAAAAACAACTATTATGATAGCTCATGTCAGTGAGTCTCTGGCAGAAGTCATTTTTTTAACAAGGATTTTCATCTCCACTAACGTCATCCCTGCATCCAGTATTTTATAAACCCTGAATTTTTGAAATTGCATTTCTCATTCCTTGATATAAAATCTTCACTCTAGTAGCTTTCCCTCACTCTAGTTAACCCCCAATTATTGCTTGACTAGAGATTCATAGGCCAGAAGGCCAGAGCCCCTGACAATCACAAAAATCACAACTACTTTCCATGGGGAATCACCACCCTTTCGTAGGCCCAACTATTGGAACTCAAGGAATGGGGTGGGAACAAGAGAAATAATGATCTCAGTGGGGCAGGAATGGCATCACTTGTTAAATTGCTGTGATAAAGGAAAGTCACTCCTTTCCACAGCTGGAGTATCCCTCCACCCATTCCTACATCATAGAAACAAAACAAACAAACAAAAAAAAAAAGACACCATCCAGGACAACATAGATTAACTCTCAGTTGACCTATAAATCCCCTTTCTTCAATATGCTGCTAATAATAAAACTCTGATTTTTAATACTATCATATTATCATACTGCTATGTTATTTGATTTTTTTTAAATGGAACACAAATTTGCTTGTTATCCTTGAGCAGAAGCCATGCTAATCTTCTCTGTATCATTCCAATTTTAGTATAAGTGCTGCCAAAGCAATTGTTGTATTGAATTTTGAGAAAATAGAAGTCATTCACCAAAATCCAAGTTTAGCTACTTTGACTGTTTGGAATGCTAAGACATTGGTCACATGGAGAAATCGGTAGAGTCCTAGGTTGACAATTAAGACGTGATTTCATACTCATGACGTATTCTGACTCGGTGACCCTGCTCAAGTCACTCAGTGCCTCAGACAATTCCCTAGGACTTACCTGAGCAAAATTGCAAAGAGGCAAGCTAGCCTAACAAATAGAATTGTCCAAAAATTGGATGAATGGACTCTCTCCATAGGTGGTAGAATCCCCCTCCTGGGAGATCTTCTAGCAGAAGCAAGATAAACACTGGTTGGGTTTGTTATTCAGGGATTCCTTTTGAATATGGGTTGAACTAAGTGACTTCTGAGAGTCCTTCAAATTCTCAAATTCTGTAAATATCTTAATCTACTAAGTCATAAAACGCTATTTGTAAATAATGTTGCTTATGGTCAGCTAAATGCAAGTAACCTTGCAGAGTATCCTAGGACAGATCTAGTTTGAAGTTTCCAAGATCCTGTCCTGTCCTAAATTAAGCAATATTTTTTTTCAATAGTGCGATCAGAAAATACACTTAACATCTTTTTTAAGATTTTGTTCTGGCATAAATAGAATGTACCTACACACAGAATATTGATATAAAATAACTTATTTCTTAATTACCATATTAATTTTGTTCTTATATTTTACGACATAGTTGAGGACAGAGCAAATCATTTGGTAATCAAGTTTGGGGGTTGTTTGGTGGGTTTTTTGTGGGTTTTTGTTTTGTTTTGCTTGTTTTTTAGTTACCCATGAATCTCTGTAGCCTAGAGCTGATACTTTGATAAGATCTGGTGTTTGCTTCCCAGAGTTTTAATACATTATTCTCCTAAGTGGCCAATTGTAACCTAAGTTACCTAATCAATGAAAATTTCTTCAGAAGCCCTTGACTTATACCACAGTATGGGATTACAAATTTTCTGTATGTTTGTTTATTGTAAGTTTTAGCCTTAGTCAAAATGCTTTCACCTGATTTTGTAATGGTATCACAATATCATGCTGATAAAGAATTTGAATTTTCACAAAATAAGGATTAAAACTGATTCCATCATTTCATTAATATTTTTGTTGTTGTTCAGTCATTTTTCAGTCATGTCTGACTTTTTGTGACTCCATTTGGAGTTTTCTTGGCAAAGATACTGGAGTGGTTTGCCATTTCCTTCTCAAACTCATTTGACAGATGGGGAAACTGAGGCAAACAGGGTTAAATGACTTGCTCAAGGTCACACAGCTAGTAAGTGTCTGTGGCCACATTTGAACTCCAGAAACTGAGTCTTGCTAACTCTGAGCCTGCCGCTCTATACACTGCTTTACCTAGCAGCCTTTAGGGAACTCTTACAAAAGGAAACTCCTTTTACCAATACAGAGCAGCTCCTTTTCTGCGAACAGGAGTTTTAAGTCAAAAAATTTGCCCAGGTTCTCCTAGACAGAATGTGTCAGAGGCACCATGACATCGTGAATAGAGACCTGGGCTTGGAGTCAAGAAGACAGCTTAATGGATTTGTGACCCTGGACAAGTTTATGAACTTTTCTGGTCCTTAATTTCTTCATCTGTAAAATGAGGGAATTGGCCTTCTAAGTTCCCTTCCAGCTCCAAGTCGTACAAGGTTGATAAAATAGTACTTTTTTCAAAAGCAGAAGAAAGTATATAAGTAGCAAATGAAAGCATTAATTGATTGGTTAATTCATTTATTGATTAGTTGTTTAATTAATTGACAGTGATTGAGAGTCACATCAGGACAACACAGATTAAAGGACCTATTAACTTAAGTCACCTGGTATAATGGATGGAGAACTAGCCTTGCAGCAGAAATACTTGAGTTTAAACTCTGCCCCTGACATATACTATCTTTGTGATCCTGTGCAAGTCACAGTGCTCTCAACACCTTCCTAATAACAATAATAACAATAGCTAACATGTATATAGCATTTACCACATAGGGGGACACTGTACTTAGCACTTTATAGCTATTAACTCATTGGATCCTCACAACAACCCTGAGAGGTAAGTGTTATTATTATTCCTATTTTATAGATGGGCAAACAGAGACAAACAAGATAAGTGACTTCCCCAGAGTCACACAGCTAGTGTATTGAGGATGGCACTCTATCTACTGCACCACCTAACTGCCCAAGCTATAAGTTACAGAGAAGGTGCTTACCTACATTAGTAGGAAAACCTCACATGGGAGGAGTTCCTTATACCTATAATAACTAACATTTATAGAGCACCTACTATATGCCAGGAACTTTATAATTATCTCATTTGATCCTTTACAACTTTGGGAAGTGCTATTATTGTCCCTATTTTATAACTTATGCAAACAGAGGGGAAGTGACTTGCCCGGGGTCATACAGTTAGCATGTCTCTGAGGTTGGATTTGAACTCAGGTCTTCCTTACCCAAGGACCAACTCTTTATCTACTGCACCACCTACCTGCCCATGAAATGACAGGTCCAATCTGTATCCCAACCTATGCATGAATTTCAGTTTTTATTAAGCTAGAATCGCCATTTTATTTCCCTTACCTTATTCTTAGATAAATGACTGAACTCTGAAATCCTAAGTACTCCTTTACATTGCAGGTGAAAATTGAGCTGCCCACACAACTCCATGAGAAACATCACATTTTGTTTTCATTTTATCACATCACATGCGACATCAATGCCAAGTCTAATGCCAAAAAGAAGGAGGCTCTGGAGACATCAGGTATTGAGCAAAGTCCTACAAGTTCATGTTGTTTGTGTGCTCTTTAAATGTAAAAGTTCTTTAAATGACTTAGGTTTGTTGAATTATTTTATGTAAAGTTCAGCTATTTGGAAGCCATACATGACCTTTTTTAAAATTTGTTTTCCTTTTTAACAAATACGTACAGTGAAGCAAAACAAATTCCCACATTGGCTTTGTCCAAGAAATGAAATATATCTGTTTCCATCTGCATTCTCAGTCCATCAGTACTCTCTCTCAAGAAATGACCTACATCTGTCTGTCTACATCTTTGCCTATTTATCACTAAGTTTCTTGGTCAAAAATGTTTTCTACGTGTCTTCTCTTTAACAGTGGGCTACGCTTGGCTTCCTCTGATGAAAGGTGATCAGCTAGCGTCTAAAGAATATCATATCCCAGTAGCAACCATTCTGCCACCTAATTATTTAAGCCTTCAAGATTCTGCAACTGCAAAGGTATTCCATATGCCAATGATATTCAAGGGACCAAAGGTTCTGTTGTTGCTCAGGGCTGCTTTATTGATATTAGAAATATCCTTGTTATGAAAGTACTTTCATTACGTCAGTGGCCTGTTTCTCCATATATTGTCAAATGTAGTCAAGCATGTATTTTCTTCTCCTGCTAATTTAAAACTCAACATTAACAAATCTTGACAGCAAATTCTATTGAAAAATGAACAACTTGCATTGTGGGAAACTATAACCATGGCAATAACATCAACAAACTTTGTGTTGCAGCACAGTGGGAGTGACTTTAAATGGGTAGATGGTGGGAAACCACTTTTCAAAGTAGCAACATTTGTTGTATCAACAGTGAACACTCAGGTGAGTTCATTCTCTTTGACAATCTGTTACCTCCATTGATATTTATAATATTAAGGAAATTTCAGAAATTCTCAGTATCAGTAAAATTACCTGATAATAAAAAGAATACAATGTAATAAACTTTTGTTCTACCTTTTGGCAGAGTGATCTAAATGAAAGTCTCCCTTTGTACTCAAGTTTTATTAGTTTATGATGAAAATCCATCCATTCAAAAAGAAGCCCCTTCCCCTTCTCAGACTATAGACTATAAGCTTGGGACAAAAGTTCCACCCCTGAATCCCATTCAAGGCCCCTTCTCTATTGTGAATCACATTGACTTCAACAGTTATGGTACATTATCACCTTACTACAATATGAGGAATTTTAGTGTAAATTTCATGTCATGGAGAACAGTACAACATTGAGCTGTCCATTTGCTCTCTCTCATGCATACTACACAATGCTCTCATCTCCTTTTCTAATTCCTCTTGCCTGTGATGATATCTTTTATACTACTTAATTCATGCAAGTCATCATTGGTGATAGGCTGTGGCTAGTATACATTTACCATATGTCTTTCCATTGCCCTTTTATTCTCTATTAATGGTGGTGTTTATGAGAATGGACTCCATGATTCACAGCCACATAAAGTATAATAGAAAAAGCAAAATGGATAAAAAATTCATATTCTCCAGATTGTGACATGTAAACCCTGGTTTATTGAGGCTCTCATCCCCTCCAACCTGGACTATTGCATAAGCCTCATCCTTGGTCCCCTTGCTTCTCTTCTCTGCTCATCCCATTCTCCACACATAGCTGCCGAAATGATATTCCTAAAATACAAGCTTAGCCACATCATTTCCCTAAGCTTGAGTGGCTCCCCATTTTCTCTCAAATCAAATGTAAACTCCTCTTTTGGGCATTTAAATCCTTTCATAATCTGTTTCCAACTACTTTCCAGGCATATTACATCCTACTCTACATTGGGCCAACAAATCTGGCCCACTCATTGTCCCTCACATACAGCATTCTATCAATAGGTACACACATACACACACACACCCATACACACTATGCCTAGAATGCACTCTCTCATTACCTCTGCCTCTTAGCATCCCCAAATTTCCTTCAAAAACCAGTTTAAGTGACACCTCCTATAGGAAGCCTTTCCTGATCTCCCCCCAACTGCTATTGACTTCCCTTTAAATTGTTGTTCAGTTGTGTCTGAAAATTTTCATTTTGGGGGGAGGATTTCTTGGCAAAGATCTGGAATGGTTTGCCATTTCCTTCTTCACTTCATTTAACAGATGAGGAAACTGAGGCAAACAGGATTAAATGATTTCCTCAGGATCACACAGCTAGGAAGTGTCTAAGGCAAGATTTGAATTCAGGTCT